TAAATATTTATTGTTATTAATTTTAATAATTTCTGACTCAAAAAGAAAAATGTATATTTAAATAAAAATCAAATCATTACCTCGTCGCTAAGTATTTCACCAACGTAACAAAATATAAAAACGTTGTATGCAAAAGATATTATTAAAATCGTATAAGTTAACGTATGAAACAAACTATCCTTATTCAAACCCTACAATATAAAAATAATCTATAATTTATAATAAAATATAATATATAAAATAAATATAATTAACACACCCACCATGATCAAATAATATTCTAGCATACACATGTTCAGTGTACATCCTAATACTTCGATTAGAGAAATGTTTTGTAAAAATTGTTGTATAAATGATATAAAACTGCAAAGAACAAAAGTTAAACATTTAATTCAATCGACACCCATACACACACACACACACACACACATATAAAACATCATAATCAATACCTTAAAATTCGTACGTGTCGTTGTACCCAATAACTTAATCGTTCCTCGACATTATTATTTTCATCGGATCGTCCAGTAACCAAATAATTCATATAAGACATTAAAATTTTCAGTTGACTACAAGCATGCATAGTTGAAACAGTCAACATACTGCAACAGCTAACCGTAATTGTACTCATGACCATACCAGCGAAACATTGCAAGCAGATCATAATCTCATTTGTTGGACTTTGACGAGTATCCATGATGACCTTGGAAATGGGATAGGCTAAAGGCTTGAAAGATATGTTACCTACTACAATTTTTGGTGAAAACACTGGTATAGTTACACGATAAATGATTACACCGCCGAATGCAAAAACTGCAGAAACGAGGATCAAACGGCGACTAAAATCAACGTATTCGAACATTATTTGTCGTTCCTCGACACGTTTAACATTTTTCCAATCGTTTTCCATGTAATTGAAACAATATTTAATATCTTTCTCGTGTATTATCAATAATGAATATTTCGTTAATATCATAACGCAAAATGATAATGAACCGACTTTGCTTAATCTTACTTGTATGTCTTGCACGTCTACGATTAAATAAAGTACCGCGGCAAAAAAGAAAAAACTGATATATAAAATGCAAAATAAATTGATCATTCGCGATATTATTATTTCGATCAATGATGTTTCCATTGTTTTAGGCCATATTCCAATCGGTTTCAATAACCAACGATTTAATTTAGTCGCGTATTTCATGTCCTCTTTGTAATTTTGATTGTACATTTGTTTTATATATGGTAATCCCCTTATATAAAACTATGATATGTGAACTATTCTCGTTATTGGTTGAGGTATAACTGAAGACCTTATAGCTTTGCTTCTTTTTAATGATCTGTTTAAAAGTCATTTATGGCGCGTGCGCGAACCGACATCGTTCTTGTTTTTTTTATTTTTCTATTTCGAAAGAACAAACTAAGTTCCATTTCTATTCGTCTACGCGTATTATACTGGTCGCTTAAATATATCGTGAATTATAATATTTATTTTTTAAATAACTTTCTCGAGAGAGAGAGAGAGAGAGAGAGAGAGAGAGAGAAACCGAAACGCAGACATATTTGAACGATTTTTATATTTATTTGTTTTAAAGAAAATCAAATTGTTTTATTGTACAATTTGATTTAGTTACGATTAAAAAACACGCGAACGTTATTAATATTTTTATTTTTTTTTTGATAAATCATATAATCAATCGTGTAATAAATATATTTTTATTGTGTGTTGTTGCAGTTGGAGAGATTTCATGGGACAAGAATTATTGGTGTGTGGAAAATTGTTTTTTGTTTCAAATTAATTCATCGAGTAAGTCTCTGCTATTTGTGTTTATTTTTAATACGTTGTTTTATATTTTTTTTACTCGTTATTAGACAAAGTATATATCATAGTTCGATTTTATTTTTTATGATTCAGTGGTCGTCGCGTTTTCTATAGAAATATGTTATTAAAAAATTAGATTAATATTGAGTAATAATACGAATAGAATATTAAAAAAAAAGGATTAATATAGTAAATGTTTAATTTTAATTCATACGCGAGTTGTTCATAAATTTGTTTTTTTTTTGTATATTTTATTTATTTGATAATCACAGTTTTGTTTTTGTTTTTGTTTTTATGAAAAAGAAAAAAAATATATATTATGTCATCTCTACATAAATCACATAAAAATAACTTGACTATGATTTTCTAGAACAAATTCTAATTGTTAATTACTAAGAAATTCATACAATCGAATGTGTATGATATCGATTTACTTTTGTTTTATTCGTTTTAAAAATGTCTTCCAAAACTTTCCTTAAGTAGTCACAGTTCGTAGCATATTCAAATAAGCAACCGATGCTTTGATGACCTAAATACGAATATATAATAATAATTATTATATTTATTATTATTATTTAAATATTTCTAAGATTTGTACTACATTGAAAAATTCGTATAAAATTTGTATTGTTTTTATTATTAATTACTCACGTCACCGAAACTACTGATCGATAATTCGACAAACTTTCCAGCAGTTAATTTTATCGATGACGACGACATTGCGATAATTAAAAGTAACGCAAGACTTTTTTTTCCTTGAAGTCGATACCAATCGATCATATAAGTTGCTTCCGCTACTTTTTTGCACTATTTATATAATATTTTTATGAGAGATTTAATAATTTTATTTTGCATTTTTTCTATCCTTTAAATTTATGTATTAAAGTAGTTTGAAAGAGTTACGAATTGTTTTCTTGAAAGAAATTATGGATAATATATATATTATATTAATAAAAAATTAACGTAAATAACATTTTTCCATTTACCAAAATTTATAAGAATTCCTCTCTCCCACCCCTTCTTATTATTCCCCCTTTTTTTTTTCATTTTTAATTAACGCAAAAATGAAGTGGGATATTAGTTTCTGAGAAAACAATTTGTTATCTCTCGTTTATTTTTTTTCTTTTAATTACCCCTATAATACCTAAAATTATATAAGTTTGAATATAATTCTACCTCTTCGGCAAGAAGTTCACCAATATAACAAAATATAAATATATTATATGCAAAAGAGATAATCAGTGCAATATATGTCAAATCAGAGACCATGTCTCCCTTATCCCAACCCTGTAAAAATTTGTAAAGACTGTTACATTTTTAGGATTTTGTTTCAGAAATTGAAAGAAGAAAACTAATATGTGAAAATGTAATATTAAAATATAATAATGATTTACAAGCATACCGCAATAAGATTATATCCAAGCAAACATATGTTCAATGTGCATCCTAATACTTCAACGAGAGAAATTTCTTGCAAAAGTTCTTCGGTAAATGCAACAAAACTGAAAGAAAAATACTGCAAACGTTACATTCGCTTAGATAATTATTTTGTTCAAATAAAATAACAGGTAAAATATTTAATTCGCATAAGAATCGTAGATGAAATTGTAATGGTACATTTAAAATGATTTGGTGGTTATTTTTTATTAAATTTTCATGATATAAAAAAAAAAGATATTGTTTTTGTGCTTAACAGAGAACATCTCATTAGTTTATTCAAATTTAAGCAACAATGTGTAACATAGTTTAAATAATCATATTGAAAAGTATTGTTAATTCAAATTACACCATCACATTTTCTTCTACTTTTTAAATACAATAAATATATAAAATATTTTGTATACCTGAGAACACGTACGTGTTGTTGAATAATATCGGTTAATCTATCATTGATAGTATCATCTTCATCCGGTCTACCATCGACAAGATTATCCAAGCAAGACATCATGATTTTCAATTGACCGCATGCGTGTAATGCAAAAACAGCAGCCAAACTGCAAGCACCCACGGTTACGGCGTTCATGACAAAACCGCATAAACATTCTAACGGTATCATCAATTCGTTTGCTGGACTTTGACGGGCGTCAACGAAAATCTTCGACATGGGATAAGCTAACGGTTTGAAAGTATAATTTCCCATGACAACTTTAGCCGATGTTAGTGGTAATACAACTTGATAAAAAAAAACACCGCTGTAAGTGAATGCACCTGACACTATTACGATACGACGACCGAAAAGTGCACTCTCTATCATTATTTGTCGATCGCTTTCGCGTTTAACATTTTTCCAATCGTTTTCCATATGATTTACGCAACGATTAATATTTTGTTTACGTATTACAAACAACCAATACTTAGCCAATACCATCAAACAAAAACTTATTGGTCCGATTGTTTTCAATTTCATTTCCATATTTTTTTCGTCTACCAAAATGTAAAGCGACGCGGATATTAATAAAAAACCAATCAAGGATGTACATATTACGTTTATTATACGATACAATATTATTTCCATCCAAGATACGTTTAACGGTGCCGGCCAAACACCTATTTGTTTCAATAACAAACGATTCAATTCTATACTGTAATTCAAATCCCTTTTGTAATTTTGATTTTTTATAGATGCCCATTTGTTGACCATTTTCTATGATCAAAACGATACATACTGAAACTTTACAATTTCATTCTTATTATTTTTTCCTCTCGTGTGACCGGTTAAGTTACAACGGGAATGAATGCGCAAACGCAATATTAGGGGCGGTGCTATATGACAGGTGGTGATTGAACTACAACTACGAGTGGGTGGATTTCTTGCTCTCTATTTCACATGACTTTCGTTAGTGTAACTCGTAACTGTGCTCAATTACTTGCTTCTGCATTGTCTAATCTCTTACCGATAATCGTAAGTTTTTTTCTCTACAATATTATTTTAACGTAAAATTCGAACCTAATTATTTTCAAATATTCCTTTTTTTTTTTTTTTTTCCCTACGTTGCTAAATATTAAACAATAACATACAAAATTTTGTTGGTATCTTTTTGAGTGTACGTAAAGAAACATTTTGTTAATGAGAATGACTATTAGTTTTGTGTTTTCTTCTACTTTTTCTTTTCCTATTGTTTTTTTTTTTTTTTTTTAAGTTGTATAATAAATCACAAATAGATAGTCCAAGCCAAGTTGATTAATATGAGAAAGTACGTAACATATTTAAATAAGCTGTCGCCGATTTGATAACCTAAACATTAAACATTACGATTATTGAGAAAATTTCGGAATAAAATGTTCGATATACGAAAATGTTTCTACAATACTTACGCTGCAAAAACAGACCAACGACAATTCGAATAATTTTCCTGCGGTTAATTTTAATGGGGCGTTTGACATAGCTATGAGAAGCGTCAAATCGAGGGCTTTTTTTTTTGGCAAACGATACCACTTTATCATGTAGGAAGTCAAACCAACATTTTCACACTGTCAAAATAATTCAACGATTATGCATTATGCATTATGTGTTTGTAAAAAAAGATAATTTTTTTATTGCATAACAATCGTTCGGGCAAACAAAACGTATATTTTAACGAAAGTATAAATATTAAAAAAAAAACAAAATTATGCATACCTGTTCAACAAGTAATTCCCCGATGTAGCACAATATGAAAATGTTAAAAGTAAATGAGATCAATAATGAACAATAAGTCAACATTCCAACAGTTAATTTATGTTCCCATTCCTGAAATTAATTGAACGTTGCAAAATATACGTATTGTTTTAAAAACAAATTCCTTTCGTATATTTCAATAAACATAAATTTATGATTTTCCTACCATTATCATATTATATCCCAAAAAGCAAATATTCAACGTATATCCCACCAATTCGACGAAACAAATTTCATTGAACAATGCTTCGATTTGTGCTATAAAACTAAATATAATTATAAATTTCATCGCGACACACAGATCGAATTAATTCAAATAATAATTCTGATTATTTTTTCAGTTAAAATCGTAATAAATATCAACGGGAAAAGAAATTCAACTCACTCGAGTATTCGCAAATGATGTTCAATGATGTCACCCAATCGTTTATCAGAAGAATTAAGATTACTTTGTTTCTCACCGTCAACGAGATCGTCCAATTTCCTCATGAGAACTTTGTATTGTCCGCAAGCGTGCGTTACAAATATGCATAACAAACTGCAAGCACATATAGTAACGGAATAAATAACGTAACCAGCTAAACATTGTACAAATTGGACGATCTCAAAGTAAGGACTAGTTCTTGGATCTAATAATTTCCGATAAATCGGGAAAGATAATACTCTTATTGTTTGATTATCAATTATTTCAGTTCTTTTAGTATAAAGTGGCATCACGGTGGAAAAAAATATTCCACCGCCGTACATGAATACTGCACAGAATATGACCATCGATCTACCAAATTCTGCATTCTCAATAACGATCTTACGATCGTCTTGTAAATTTTCAGCGCGTTCCCAATCGGAACGAATATGTTTGACGCATTTTGCAATGGCCATTCCTCGTGACGTTAAAATATAATATTTGATAGCTGCCATAACGCAGAAACTTAGGGGACCTATTATCTTTATTTTTGAATTGAGAACACTCTCACGACCAAGAAACGTAACCAGTGCACATGGTATCAATAAAAATCCTATTAAACAGCTACTGATCGTTGTCAAACTAATGGAAATCATTTTTTCTAGAAAAGTAACGTTCAACGATAGTGGCCAAGCACCGATTGATTTTAAAAACAAACGACTCAATTGAATACTGTAATTCCAATCTTTCGCTGGTAATTCTTTTAATGATTTTCTTTCAGATAATGTTGGTGATAAATTCAGCATGATGTGTATTGTACGGAAACAAAGTACTCACTGGTAAAAACTTTTTATGCTTAGTTAGATTGATTGATTCCTTAGSATTCTACTTCTCGCGCATGTGCAACCATACGATGAAAGGATTGAGAAAGWTATTGTATAGTTTTATTGAAATGTCATATCCTTCTGTTGGTTAGTTTACTTTCTCCCTTCGAAGGGCGTGTATATACGTGCCGAGGAAAGGTGGCATTACGATTACTAATAACACTTTTATTCCAAAGGGTTTATAGGTCATGGAGTTTATATACTTTCTTTTTTAATATACTGAAGAAAAAAGGGTTCATTCGTGATGGGGTAAATTTGATTATTCCTGTCGGAAATTCGTTTCAATTTTTGTTAGCAATTAAAGGGGATAGATACTCGTATAATATTTTTTAAAATACACATGTTTTTATTTATGCACGTATAATGCAATTTTTTAATTATAATGATGTTTTAGTTTTGTTTCGTTTCTTTTTTTTCTTGATATTTTATTTGTTTATCATTTTATGTGAGTTTTTTTTATGYTTGATACTTAAATATGCCAATGATGTTTACACGACCTAAAACAATAATCGTTTAAATGACATTTTATGATCGTACTTATATTAATTGTWAAGTCAATGTTTTTCGTGTGCTTTATATTGGCAAATGTTGATTTTTTAAAAATATATTTAGCATAAAATCGATTGAATTTTACAGATGTTGTTATACGAATTTCTTACGTTGTTGAATGTTGGCATACGCAAGGGAATAATTTTTCCAACAATAAATCCAGTCGTCTGGTAATCGTAAGTTTATTTTTTCTACATAATTAAACGTAAAACAAACATAATCATTATAAGATATTCATTTTTATATCGTACAACATTAATAAAAATAATTATTTATCGATTATTATGCGCGTATAAGTAAAATATTTTGATTG